CGACCATATGATCCTTCTCCCAGTATTATATTCTGTCCATTTGTTGGAAGAAGTTCAGTATGATTGATTAAGTTTACAGTGGAATATTTGGTACTTGCATTCCTTTTAAAAAACTGGAAAATGAAGGCAAATATATTATAGAGAGAGTGCTTAAATAAATGCTAGATTGCAACACAAGTAAAGGTGAAGATTGTTGATCTCATTGTTTGGCATGCAAATGACTGCAAAGTAACTAGAAACATTACTCCTCCTCCAGATGGACTAGACATTAGCATTGAATTTTATTTTTTTTTTGGCGTGCTCTCCCTCGACACTGCCGCTTTTTCTCAGTTGCGTCTTTCTTTTTTTGGAGCTGAAGTTCCTTCACTTTTGTTTGTGCTTCAGCAAAGCTTATTTTAAATATTTTCTCAAAGTGGCCATTCACTTTGAATAAATGTGTTTTACAGCAGTTTTAATGGCTTTTTGCGTTGGTTTCACTTTACTTTGTGTCACCCCACTTTCAATAAGGGCCTCTTTTAAAAGTTTTCGGGTTTTGAAAGTTTCTCCACTAGGGAAAAAATGGCATAATAGTGCACTTGACAACCTCCACAATTTGACAGTGTGTGTTGTTTCTTCTGCGCTGCATTAAGAGCTTTCCAGTTTACCATTGAAAACGTGTCTTGGTACTGGGCCCTGGCTTTTGAGTTCATCTTTCGGAAAGAGCTGTAAATTGCTTTGGATTTCTTGACGTAGGTGGAACTTTCGACCGCAAAGACTTCCTGACTGTCACCCTCGAACGCTGCAAGATAGTTCTTCCACTTTTCACTAGGGTTAGTTTCAACCGAAGCACTTCCAACCTTACGAAAGCTCTCCTTTACAGCAACTCTTGCAAATCCACAATTAAAAATGACAGACATTTTCGTTTCACACGAATACACTTAGCTCGTTATAGCGTAGTACCGTTGTTAGTGAATAAAACCTTGAAGAGTTTCAAGGAATCAGTGTGCGTATCTTGCGATAACTTTCAAGTTTTGCGCCAAAATTGTAATTCAGTCTCGTTATATGATACTACTTGGGATAAAATTACAAACGTTATTTATTCTTACTGCCCAAATTTGCAATTGTGTTTTATTAGAACTGTCAAAGGCGATCTAACCCTGGATTTACAGAGATGCAATCGACCTCAGAAACGAGAAAAAGAAATAAATATCATCAAAAGTATACAAAGTTTGCCTGTATTACTTCTGAGATTGCTCCAATTAGTATTTGGTAGTGTATCAGCCGTTAAATTATTGCTTCTGAACACTCGCGTATCAAAATGGCGGACACTAAGTTGAATTACGTGATTACGAGTTTTCAAAATTCTCACCTCTTAAACAGTTTTAATTTGTCTTTTTTCCAAATAAATAGGAACCTGTGGGATTACTTTCGTTGATAGCGGTTGGAACCAGGTAAAGGCTAAGATGTTTTCGGGCGAAAACCATGATAGAGGAAGCAGCTTCGCAGAGACAAAACTTGATTTAATCTGCCTAGCACATCTCTGTTCTTTTTGGCAGCCATTCCAAGTGGGAAAACAATGAAAAACGTCTCAAATATTCATAGCGATAACTGCATTTTGATTTGCCTTGTGTTTAGTGGTGGGAATTTGCTCAAGAAAGCAACCGACGAATTTGGCGCCTAAATTAACTGTTTTTGGCTGTTGAGAGTATCATATTAAGCTGCCACAATTCAGTCCGAGAGAGATGGTAGTGATACACATTTCTGCCAAGTATGAGAAAAATCCCTCGCAAAATAGCCAAGTTATTCTCAATTTTGTGAAAATATGGGTTAAAGACAGGGTGACCCAGGCCTTAATTAACCTGAGTGATAACCACCCGCTTCTACGATTAGTTTGCTGAAGGTTTCTAATGTGATGAGCCCAGTGAGACCCTGAGATGCTCCAAACTGTGCAAGTTGGTCTGCGCTATAAACTTGTTCTAGTTCTTAAGTCAGAGGGAGGATCGCCCACCACTATTTATATGAGCGCCTCTGCAGTAAGCAACTGTACCAAGTTGTGCATGATATTTAAGGCCTATCGAGAAATCGCGGCCTTCGTAAACTCCATCCAAGCCAATACGCGCTAGAATAAACTTCTTCTCGTAAGAAAAGCATGTTTGGGATAAACTGACGTCTTACAATTTTTTTTTTGTATTTTTTTTTTAATGCTGTACACCCACGAATTTAGGGGTATGAGCTGTTGCCGTCCCTGGCCAGTGCGAGAAAAATAACATTTGATTCTACATTTAGATGCAAATGAACAAGGCAACTACGCCATCTTGATTCTATCAATTAGAGTGTTAGGTTGAATTGAGGGCTCTTTAGACACTGGATTTCTTATATAGCATCACTATGAAGACTTAATACAACTGAAACACCTACACTACATAGGATTAATGAGGTATTCTTCTGAGAAGAAACACTGCTCTCCTCCCAAGATGATGTCCATTTAAGCAGAATCTCATTTTTTAAGCAAGCTTATCGGTAGAATTACTGCTCTTTTCTAGAGACACGATATTTGATTGGGAAGAATGTCAGTTTCTGACTCTCCTCATGAAAGTTATTGTCTTTTACCCAAGAATGAAAATTTGTTTTTAAATGGATCGTTCTTCACAAAAGATGGACTTTACTTGTGTGAAGAATCACGTACTATCACGTAACATACTATCAACATAACATAAAACTAACTCACATATTTATGATGTATGCAACAAGTTATCAATGAACAACTATATCAACATTCACTGTATCGACAACGTTCACCTTTTATCCACATTTATCATATTTTGTATCCTATAATAATATCGTATCACTTTTAAATCATACCCTATTTTTTTAAAATGCATTTATCAACATACAATTCACAAAAAATATAATTAACCTATTTATTCACAACAATATGAACCCTAACTTCTAAGACGAAGGGCTGAGTAATGCGATTTTGAAGCGCTTAAAGATTCTCTGATAAGAGATCAGATTGTGGTTGGAATAGGTGATTCCAAGCTACGAGAGTGACTGCTACGCGAAAGGAAGTTGACACTCCAGAAAGCCATTGACCTATGCAGAATCACGGAACAATCAAAGGAACAGGTAATTTAGGGGGAACAACTGAGTTGAATTGGCCACCATAAAGGTTAAAAAAGCTGAAGTTTCGAGCGTTAGCCCTCTTCAGAACGATTGGCGAAGGGCTGACACTCAAAACATCAGCCTTTTTACCCTTTACGGAGGCCAATTTACGTTTTCAACTCAGTTGTTAACACTAATTTACCTGCTATTCTCTCCCACCGACGCAGCACCACAGTTTATTTAGAAACTTACACCCTTTAATCAAAGGAAAAATCGAAAATCTTCAGGTCGCCAACTGCTCAATATAGCAGTATTGATACTGCGAGGAAGACACGGCTGCCGGTGGAAACAGTGAAATCCAAAGAAGTAGCCGGCTGACTTGCGCAGGGATATGATATGATTAGTTGGTTGTCTTGTGTAGTTGTTGTTATCACATGATCTGTTGGATCACATGTTTTCGGAGTGTTACTTGAGAATAAACTTGAGAACGTGCAGACGTATATTTTCGTCACTCATAACAGTTTCACTGAAAACAAAGACGGTCCTTGTAGTCGGAGTATTTTAACATGTTAATTCGGACAGAAAAAAATACTTGTAAATTCAAAAGAACTTATCATTTGGAAAGAAACGTGTCACCAATTTGAGGATTGATAATTGTTTAACAAAATGCAAGCCCTCTGCACTGTAAATGTTGCTTCGGTCGATGATGAACAGGTTTTGAATGCAAACTTACCTACAAATGGAAGAAGAAAAACGCAGCTTAATCGTAGAGTTGCTTCAGTTTGTCAAGTTTCCTGCACAAAGATGACCGCGCATTACCTTATTTAAAAAAATAGTTGAGAGCTTCATAAGAACCAAGAAAGCGAAAGAGGCCGCGAATAATAGTTTATTTTGAGCTGAAAAGAAACTGCCCTGCGTCAAGTATCACCTGTCTTCGTAGGAGTCCAACGAGCTTGTTGTTATGTAAATATGAGTGATAACAAAATAAGTAAATATTGTGATATTAGTCAGTAAATTGCTGTAAGTGTTATTCGAACAGAGTTTGAATTTATACCTTTTTCACTTAATAGAAATTGCTATGCAAACTGATTTTAGCCCAATGACGGTTTTCTAACCTAAAGGTTCTTCTTTTTGTTTAATGATTTAGTTGTATACCTGCTTATCTATTTGCTGGACCCCATTTTTCGGCAGGACCTCTCGATTTTCTTCTTTCACTGCTTGATAAAATAGTAAGGTATAAATAAATTCCAGTCTTCGTAATCTGCACATCTTCAGCACGAAAAATATTTGCTAGCGAAAGGAAAGTCTGTAATTAGCGTCTCGCTTTCCTCACATGAATAAGAGAAAGTTTCAAAAGAAGACTTCAGCGAGAACGGCCCCCCGGCTGCACAAAATAAAATTCCGAATGTAAGAAGCAAAGTCTATGAAGCCAGTCATATTCGAGATAGATGCTCAAATAAGAAAAGTTAATCGAAATTGTAAGGTTGCTGCTTAAAACCGTTCACTCATATCATTTCATTCGCAATTCTCCCTACCGTCTGCTATACAATTCTCACGACGTTAGTTTGGAGACTCTGGTATTGAATCAACTAATTATACCTTCATTTAAATATTCTTCATTCTTATGCCGTAATTCACCTGAATGATGTTGCAAGGTGAAGTTATTTTATGGTCACTCGTGAGAGTCAGAGAGTTACTGTTGTAGCTGAGAAGTCCTTTAGCCAATTAGAGCTTCTTGCTCTCTTTAAGAGATTTTCTTAATCAAATAGCTTAGTTCATGATACGTTACGATTTCTGTATAATTCTATGATTAAGTAGTCAAGATTTAGCTCTAAGATTGAGAAGTCAGAGATGCCTTCGAGTTTTAAAAAGAAGCAAATCTTAATATCTACAAACAGTCATAATGCATATAAATTAACTCAGGTGCAAATGGTTTTATTAAATGTAACAATCAATTCAGCGTGTAGAGTGTAACATACAAATGATTAGGCTATTAGGCTATTACATTTTGAAAAGGATAATAAAAGCGTTATATGACCATGCAAGTACAACTACTGCCTGTTCAACGTATTTCCATAAACACTTCGCTAGCAAAGCAAATGGGCTCGAGAAAACGAGAAGAGATTGGAAACAGCTCTCGGACACCCGAGGACCTCACCATCCTTATTTCGTCACTCGCTGCCTCTCAAAACTTCACATTAAACATTGCATTAGAAAAAGGAATCATCGTTAAGCATCAGTATTATGTGTGAATTCTGAATGTAAGAAAAAGGAAACAAAAATGCGAGGAAGGGGAGGGAGGGGTGGTACTATCACAGGTTTCTTGATGTGAGCTACATCAGATTAAAAAAACAACATATAGCTTTTCAAAAGCCTAACGTAAAACTTCACTGTTCTCAGTTAAACGCGAATATGGCTGCCAGCATCACGAAAAGCAACAAAAAATTCAGCTGAACGGAAACTGCGTTGCCTTCTTTATCGTCTTTGTCGTCTTCGTCATCAAGTTCATCCCCCAATGTCACTCCTGGGTCAATTTCAATGCTTCTGCTGAGACTGGCGGGTACTCGGAAAGCAATCCTATACTTGGTGCCGATCCTCTCGAGCTTTGGGTAGCCACCGCTGCTGAAGTTGGCAAATTTGCCATTTACTTTGCACTAGTAACGCAAAAATGAAAGGAAAAAATGAGATTAAAATTGTTAGAAGTGAGAAATAAACAAAAAACCGCAGACTTTACAGTGGCAGAATATAATTGTCTGCAAACGCTCTCCAGGAGGCGGTTTTCAAATTGAACTTATCTAGAAAACAGCGGGAAAAAGAACAGAAAACAACAAACAAAGAAACAAAAACAACAACAAACACAACAACCCGTTAAAATAAAAGGTTTTGTTGATCACTGACTGGCGAGTCATTGAATGTTTTCACTATTTGCTAAAGTCATCCCTCTTGGGTCATTACGCAAGACAACCAAAAGAAAGGATGGTTTAGATCTGTTGCATAATAACTTCACTCAGAACTTTACCTTACTAGCAGCTGACATTTCATCGTCGGTATCGTCTCCACTGCCAAAGCGGAAATGCTTGCCGCATTTACCTGTTTTCCGGCATGGTATTTTTCGATTGAGTTTCTTTTGTTTACCGTCACTGTCTTTGATGTCTTCGTCTTTCCTTGGGTTTTGACCCTTTCTTCCCTGGACAATGAGTCCCAACTCAATATCCTTCGCCTCACTGGAAGTATAGTTTTCAAGCTTTAAAAAAAAAAAAGTCAAATTTTGAACCTATTTGGCGTACTAAGGGAAACAATTAAAGGACTTTCAATTCAATCTCTAGCGTATTTGGGATTGCGTCGTTTTTGTTGCCGTTGTCCTTTTGTTTTTTTGTTTTGTTTTGTTTTTTACTTAACTGCGATTGTCTCGCACCACCTTCTGAGTCAGTCTGGTTCATATTTCAAACAAATCCAAGCTGAGGTGGACCCAGTTCGTCACTCAAAAATGCCTGTCACAAGTCTAAGGTTAAAAGACAAACTATTGATTTCTTCTATCTCCATGCGAACACATGTCTGTCTTAGGGAAAGATAAACATGCCTAGATTAGCCCAAACAAGGACATTCTCTACAAAGCTAAAGGGTTGATGACAAATTTTTCATTATGTTTTGCAATTGAGTAAGATTAATCATGTTGGAAATAACTCAGCGGATCATTAAAGGTTTCCCGCGCTAGAAACAATCTCTTTATTGTTAATTTAGCTCTAAGTTTCTTCCCTGAAAGTGGCTTAGTTCGGGAAAAAAGGAGGCCTGTTCTCGTCTAAAATTAAACTAAAAAATAAATTTAGTGGAGTCAAGTTAAAATAGCTTAGTCCTTTAGGTTGTCCTATTCGGTACCATCTAGAAACTAGGTAACGCTCCCCCTACGTGATTATAATGTCTAGTCACAGAGATAACATGATAGATTAATGAATAATGATTGTGTACCTTCAGGAATAATTTCATTGAGCCAGTTTTCATTTCTATCTCATCATCATCGAATTTGATCGTTCCGTTTTGGCAAAGAATGTAGATGTCAACGTGCAGATTTGCCTTTTGAGCCTTGAAGTGAGCCTTGGCGGAGAGCTTCATCGCCTTCAGGCCTTGCAACACAGCGGATTTGTTCAGTTTTGCCATGGTGAAATCTTGAGCTTTAGGATCTATTGATCGATTCTTTCCGATATCTGTGCCATTCGCCCCCAGTTGCTTAATGACATCCATTTCTACAGTGAAGGCTTTGGCAAAAGCCTTGTTGTTACGACAACGACGAAACAGAACCTTTCCAGACCTGCGAAGGACTTTCATGCACATACCGCCACATGCTGTGTCGCTAAAATCAGCCGCAAAAGCTGACAAAAGAGTGGCAGCTGAGAAGAAAAACATTCTATGTTATATCTATTCAAACGTTACTTCAGCCGGCGGTTTACAAGGTGGTTTCACACTTCGTTGGCGCCGAATTGAGTGCCTGGGTAAGCATAACTAGCGAATTATAGAGTTTTGCCAAAGATTGACTGTGCCAGTTTGCATGGTGAATTTTTTAGCCCATTAAAGTGATGCCGGTTAGTCCATGATGATGACATCTATCAAAACATAACCCCTCCCCCCCCCCCACACCCACACACACACGCACACATACGGAGAAAAAAAAATATCCAAGTCACAAGTGGAAATGTTTAGAGAAAAAGTCAAAATCGTCGAAGCTCTCTGTTTTATCACAATCTTGTTTTTTTTTCTCATTTTTTCCGTGAGCCTTCGTTCGATTTTTTATCACACCCATGGCACGTTCGAGTTAGTTCAAGTTATTCTAGCATTCGAACCACTAGTTTGCAATAACCTGAATACTGTTTACATAGTTTGAACTCGAAGTTCTTTCGATTTTTTTCCAAAGGAAACAACTTAACTAACACAAAAAATATTCAATTCACCGAAATGACAAAAGTATCAATAAATTCAAATCAATGATCATGTGAGTTGCGTTTGGTGCAAAACAAATCGACGTTGTCATGGTAGAGCAAGACATGTTCTTGAAAACCGAAAATTTGCAAGAAAAGAAAAAAAGGAGGGTTATAAGTATTCGCCCTCGTTAATTAGAAGCTTCTTGTTTGGTTGTGAATTTAATAAAGATAACTGGCAGTCAGCTTTTCGAAGTCTGGTTTTCGTAAAATACAGGCGCTGAAAGAACTGCATGATAAATATTTTAAAATAGCAAATTGAGTTTGATCCACCTCAATATAATTTTTCTTACCAGAAAGGGAAATGAAAATCATTCTCCTTTAAATTATGAAACTGGACCGATAAATGAAAATGATAGTGAGATGACTTTTGAAACTGACATTTGGTTTCATTGCACTGCGTTGAATAAATATTAAAATTTTATTGTCATTCGAAATTGAAAACGAGTTGGCACTGAAGACAATGTATTGCACAGCTCTAACAATGTTTTCCTGTAAAAACTTGTTAGCAAATCTAGGTCTTCTAATTTTCAGTATTAAGAATCCAAGATAATTCCTGTTGAAATTATTTATATTGTGGTAAGGGAACTACGGTCTTTTATAGATCAATTTACTGAGACACCTCAGCTCAGAGCAAAAGTGTTGCACTTTATTAACCCAAAAGTCGTTAAAACAAATCGCATCTATTATCACAGAGATATGTAAAACCTCTCAAAAATCATCAGTACCTCTCTTTGATACGTTTTGGAATATTTTTTTCCCAAAGCTGAGAAAGTTGATAAAAGAGATTATTTCCATCTATTTTAATTGAAATGGAGACGAATAAATTGTTGTCATGTAACAAATTCTGATCTTCCAAAATGCGAACCACCATATCACCGATAAATCACAAGGTAAACTACCTCTTAAATATAACGGTTTGAGATCTAAATAATCTTCAGTTGTTCTCCATTAAAAGAAAAAAGAAAACATAACGGAACAGATAGTTTCGTTTACTGTATGCAAAGGTTCACGATTTTACCGTATTTCATTGTAAACAAACATAGCCCTTGTGGTCGGAGTACTTCGACTCGTTAATTTGGACAGAAAAAAATACTTAAAAGGTCAAAAAAGCTTCTCATTTCCAATGTGAGGATTGATTAGTGCTTAACAAAATGCAAACCCTCTGCATTGTAAATATTGCTTCGGTCGATGACGAGCAAGTTTCAAATGCAAACTTACCTACAAAGGCAAGTAGAAAAACGCAGCTTAATCGTAGAGTCATGTTGTTTTAGTTTTCCGAGCTTCCTGCACAAAGATGCCCGCGTTTTATCTTATAGAAAAAAGAGTGATAATTCTTAAGCTTTTCAACAACCAAGAAAGCAAAAGAGGCGGCCAATAATAATCTATTTGCAGCTGAAAAGAAACTGCTCTGCATTAAGTATCACCTGCCCTCGCATCAGTCCAACTAGCCTATTGTTATACAAATATGAGTGATTATTGCACCAAAATAATCAAACGCTGTGATATTAGTCACTGCGCACTGTAAGTGGTAGTCGATCAGAGTTGGAATTCAAACCTATTTTACCAAATACAAATTGCTGCGCAAACTGATTTCGGCTCCTATGACGTTTCTCTTACTTAGAGCTTCTTCTTTTTTATTAGTTGTCTGTCTGTTCATCTATTTACTGGACTCCTTTTTTCGGCAGGACTTCTCGATTTTCTTCTTTCATTGCTTGAGAAATAGTGAGGTATGGATAAAGTCGAGCCTTCATCATCTTCACATCTTCAACAGGAAAATATATTTGCCGGTGAAAGAAAAGTCTCTAACTAGTGCCTCGCATTCCTCACTTGGATAAGAGAACGTTTCAAAAGAAGACTTCAGTGAGCACTGCCCTCCCGCCTGCGCAAAATAAAACCCCGAATGTAAGAAGCAAAGTCTACGAAGCCAGTCGTAATCAAGATAAATTCTGAAATTTCGGAGTTGCGATAAACTGTGATTATGCACTTGAAGATTTATAAAAAGATACTGAACTTACGTTTACCTTTTAATCAAAACTATAAATAAATTCGTCATCGCCACAGGTGGAGGGGTGGCCGAGGGCGCTGGGTAAACTTTTTTTGTGATGCCACATCCAAAATCCTTCGACACAATCCTCTCCCAAGGTTGCTGCTCAAAACCGTTCACTTCACTCATAAAATCTCATTCGTAATTCTCCCTACCGTCTGCTATGCAATTCTCACGAAGTTAGTTCGGAGACTTTGGTACTGAATCAACTAATCATCCCTTCATTGAAATTTTCTTCATTCTCATGCCATCATTAATCTGAATACTGTATTGATGTTGCAAGGAGAAGGTAATTCTTTGTCACTCGGGGGATTCAAGGTTGCTGCTGCAGCTGAGAAGTTCTTAAGCCAATTTGAGCTTCTTGCTCTCTTTCTTCGTATATTTTTTTTAACTTTCACTATCAAATAGCTTGGTTCATGATAAGGTTACGATATTTGTGTTATTCTATGACTAAATAGTCAAGATTTAGCTCTTTGAGATGTCGGAGTAGCCTCCGAGTTTTATAAAGAAGTAAATTTTAATATCTGCAAATGGCCGTTAGCTATATGAATTACTTAAGTGCAAATAATTTCATTAGGTATAGCAATCAATTCAGTGTGTAACTTCTTGTTGTCACGACAACGACGAAACAGAACCTTTCCAGACCTGCGAAGGACTTTTGATGCACATACCGCCACATGCTGTGTCGCTAAAATCAGCCGCAAAAGCTGACAAAAGAGTGGCAGCTAAGAAGAAAAAAACATTCTATGTGATATCTATTCAAACTTTACTTTAGCCGGCGGTTTACAGGGTGATTTCACATTTCGTTGGCGCCGAATTGAGTGCCTGGGAAAACATAACTAGCGAAGTATAGAGTTTTGCCAAAGATTGACTGTGCCAGTTTGCATGGTGAATTTTTTAGCCCATTAACGGTGATGTAAGCCCATAATGATGACATCTATCAAAACATACCCCCACACACACACACGCACACATACGGAGAAAAAAAAATCCAAGTCACAAGTGAAAATATATAGAGAAAACGTCAAAGTCGGCGAGGCTTTCTGTTTTATCTTAATCAAAAAGTATTCAATTCACTGAAATGACAAAATCACCAGTAAATTCAAATCAATGATCATGTAAGTTGCGTTTGGTGCAAAACAAACCGACGTTGTCATGGTAGAGCAAAACATGTTTCTTGACGACCGAAATTTGTAACAGAAGAAAAACAGTAGGGTTTTAAGCATTCATTCTCTTTAATTAGAAACTTTTTCTTTCGTTGTGCATTGATTAAAGATAACAGGCAGTCTGGTTTTCGCAGTCAGGTTTTCATAAAATTATCCTGCACTTGGTTTGAAGAACTGCATAGTAAATGTTTAAAAATAGCACATTGACTTTGATCCAGCTCAATCGATTTTTTCTTACCAGAACAGGAAATGAAAATCGTTCTCCCTTAAGTTATGAAACTCGCTTGAGAAACAAAAATGATATTGAAATGACTTTCGAAACCAATATTTGGTTGTGTTCTACTGCTTTGAATAAATATTAAAATTTTAGTGTCATATAAAATTGAAAATGGCTTGGCACTGAAGACAATTGATTGTACAGCTCTAACAATGTAAACATATAACATTTGTCAGCAAATCTAGGTCTTCCAATTTTAAATTTTTGAAATCCAAAGCAATCCCTGTTGAAGTTATTTATATTGTACGGTGTTTTATGTCTCACCACAAGACAATAGGTTGGATCAATTTACTGAGACACCTCAGCTCAAAGCAAAGTTGCTGCACTTTATTAACCCAAAAGGCGTTAAAACAAAGTGCATCTAACATCGCAAAGATATGTAAAACCTTACAAAAAATAATCAGTGCCTTCCTTTGATACGTTTTGGAAAATTCTTACCTAAGCTGAGAGAGTGGATAAAAGAGATTATTACCATTTGTTTTAATTGACAAGGAGAGGAATAAATTGTTGTCATGTAAAACAACAAATTTTGATCTTCCAAAATGCGAACCACCATATCACCAACAAATCACAAAGTAAAACTGGCTCTTAAATATAGCGGTTTGAAATGCGAATATACTTCGCTATTAAAAAAAAAGGAAATCATTAAAGAACAGATGGCTTCATTTACTATATGCAAAGGTTCACGAATTTACCATATTTCACTGAAAACAAAAATAGCCCTTATGGTCGGAGTACTTTGACATGTTAATTCGGACAGAAAAAAATACCTGAAAGTTTATAAAAAAAAAACTTCTTCGTTTCCAAAGAACGTATCAGCTATTTGAGGATTGATGAATGTTTGACAAAATGCAAACCCTCTACATTGTAAATATTGCTTCGGTCGATAATAATCGTTTCAAATGCGAACTTACCTACCAAGGGAAGAAGAAAAACGCAGTTTAATCGTAGAGTCATGTTTCTTTAGTTATTCAAGCTTCTTACACAAAGATTCCCGCGTTCTATCTTGTAAAAAAATAGTCGTAATTCCTAAGCTTCACAAGAACCAAGAAAGCGAAAGAGGCGGCGAATAATGGTTTATTTGCAATGAAAACAAACTGCTCGGCAGCTTCAAGTATCACCTGCCCTCGCAACAGTCCAACTAGCCTGTTGTTATACAAATATAAGTGACAACAAAATAATCAAACATCGTGATATTAGTCATTAAATTGCTGAAAGTGGTATTCGAACAAAGTTTGAATTCATACCTGTTTCGCCTAATATAAATTGCTGTGCAAACTGATTTTGGCTCAATGATTAACAGGTGAAAAATATAACACCGCATTAACAGGATGAATTCTTGGTCAGATAAAAAACAAAAAAAAACCACAACATTTAAGAGCGAGTTTATCTTACATTGCAAAACCTGGTTAGGTTCTCAAACGAAGGTGGTATAAGTAATCATCCGTAACAATTCCGTTGGAACAAGCCTAACACGACTATTCCCCAAGAGCAGGAAATATTTCTGAGTCAACCGATACCACTTTTACCGATATCACTGTTTTCAAGTCATCATGTAATATATATTCTATCCTTCATGGTCTGAGTCAAATGTTATGGTTAATGTACTTACAAGACAACCCTGATTAAAGACGATGTTGAGCACGAAGCCACTCTAAAATGACCATGTTGCTACTGGCTACTACATGAAACTTTTTACATTGACCTTACTAAAGCAGATCCACTTTCCAAAAGCGTATTGACAACTAATAAAAACAGCATACAGGGCTCATCGAAATAATGGAAATTCAGCCCGGTTTAAGAGAGAGAAAAAACCTTACCGGTAAATGCCACAAGAAATGCAAGACTTGCGTAAATGTTCATCTCCACTGCAGACCTCAAATCTGTGATTGTTACACCAAACCTTAGAGCACGGGTAAATAAACTTCACACCTGATTAAAGAAAGGAGTGATAATTAATCTGAACTGACAAAGAGGAAGATAACGAGCTACACCTAATTTGCAACTGAAAAGAAGTTGTCAAGGAAACTGTTATCGAGATAAAAACAGAATTAACTGAATCCTTTGATCCGTGAAGGCCAGCTATTTTGTGAGCAAATGTGTTTCCATTCGCACGCACTGTGGAAGGTACTTTCATTTCAACTTTGAGTTTGATTCCGGTCTAACAATATGGCTTTTGAGTGTAAACATGTATTTTTAGCACTGGTGCATTCATTTATAAACTTTTTCTTTTGCAATCTTCTTAAGCAAGGCTTCTTTTGGGTAAAATTTCCGCACAGTCCCATCCTATTGTAAAACAAATCTGTTTTCCCAAGGCAATGTATTGTTTTTGTCATTGTTTTCTCTATCCAAGAACTGAATGAATAATGTAGTATGGGGCTGTGCGGAAATTTTACCTTCTTTTGTCCCAAGCTCAAGAGAACACGAAAGAAAAAAAATCTTCTTTAAGTTCATTTTGAGCTTGTAAGTTAATACTTATATATATTAGTATATGTAGCGTGACTGCTTGACCTTTCATGAGCGGCAAAAATTGTTTATCTTTTTTTTTCCAAGACGTTTCTAGAAAGTTCTTAATCCTTCTGCTATCTTACTTTTCTATTTTTTGACTGCAAATATCATCTTCATTTGCTATTTTTTTTCGCTGATTATCATGGCCTTTCCTGCGTGTACGTGCGAGCCAGGGCTTAGGAGTGTAAGTCTGGCTCAAAAGATATCTGCACGCTGCAACACGGGTTCCTATGTTTTCTCCTTTTTCTTTATTTGTATTTTTATTATCTTCTTTGCATTATTACACATTTGTTTTTTATTCCCTCAGCGCGTTCCCCCAGATTTGGAAGGAGGCTATGAAAAGTCAATATTAACCAGAACT